ACAGTGGTGTGTGTGACAGGGATGTTCACTGTCTATATGATGTATAAAGGTACAGAGGTGTGTGTATGTGTGTGTGACAGAGGTGGTCACTGTCTATGTGATGTATAAAGGTACAGTGGTGTGTGTGTGTGTGTGACAGAGGTGGTCATTGTCTATATGATGTATAAAGGTACAGTGGTGTGTGTGGAAGAGGTGGTCACTGTCTATATGTTGTATAAAGGTACAGTGGTGTGTGTGACAGATGTTGTCACTGTCTATATGATGTATAAAGGTACAGTGGTGTGTGTATGTGTGTGTGTGTGACAGAGGTGGTCACTGTCTATGACATGCATAAAGGTACAGTGGTGTGTGTGTGTGTGTGTGTGACAGACGTGGTCACTGTCTATATGTTGTATAAAGGTACAGTGGTGTGTGACAGAGGTGGTCACTGTCTATATGTTGGATAAAGGTACAGTGGTGTGTGTGACAGGGATGGTCACTGTCTATATGATGTATAAAGGTACAGTGGTATGTGTATGTGTGTGTTACAGAGGTGGTCACTGTCTATATGATGAATAAGGGTACAGTGGTGTGTGTGTGTGTGTGACAGAGGTGGTCACTGTCTATATGTTGTATAAAGGTACAGTGGTGTGTCGCAGAGGTGGTCACTGTCTATATGTTGTATAAAGGTACAGTGGTGTGTGTGGCAGAGGTGGTCACTGTCTATATGTTGTATAAAGGTACAATGGTGTGTGACAGAGGTGGTCACTGTCTATATGTTGTATAAAGGTACGGTGGTGTGTGAGTGTGTGTGTGTGTGTGCGTGCGTGCGTGCGTGCCTGCGTGCGTGTCTGCGTGCGTGCGTGCGTGCGTGCGTGCGTGTGTGTGTGTGTGTGTGTGACAGGGATGGTCACTGTCTATTTGTTGTATAAAGGTACAGTGGTGTGTGTGACAGAGGTGGTCACTGTCTATATGTTGTATAAAGGTACAATGGTGTGTGACAGGGATAGTCACTGTGTATATGTTGTATGAAGGTACAGTGGTGTGTGTGACAGGGATGTTCACTGTCTATATGATGTATAAAGGTACAGAGGTGTGTGTATGTGTGTGTGACAGAGGTGGTCACTGTCTATGTGATGTATAAAGGTACAGTGGTGTGTGTGTGTGTGTGACAGAGGTGGTCATTGTCTATATGATGTATAAAGGTACAGTGGTGTGTGTGGAAGAGGTGGTCACTGTCTATATGTTGTATAAAGGTACAGTGGTGTGTGTGACAGATGTTGTCACTGTCTATATGTTGTATAAAGGTACAATGGTGTGTGAGAGGGATGGTCACTGTCTATATGTTGTATAAAGGTACAATGGTGTGTGTGACAGGGATGGTCACTGTCTATGTGATGTATAAAGGTACAGTGGTGTGTGTGTGCGTGACAGAGGTAGTCACTGTCTATATGTTGTATAAAGGTACAGTGGTGTGTGTGTGAGTGTGAGAGAGATGGTCACTGTCTATATGATGTATAAAGGTATAGTGGTGTGTGTGACAGAGATGGTCACTGTCTATGGGTTGTATAAAGGTACAATGGTGTGTGACAGAGGGGGTCACAGTCTATATGATGTATAAAGGTACAGTGGTGTGTGTATGTGTGTGTGACAGAGGGGGTCACTGTCTATGTGATGTATAAAGGTACAGTGGTGTGTGTGTGTGTGTGTGACAGAGGTGGTCATTGTCTATATGATGTATAAAGGTACAGTGGTGTGTGTGGAAGAGGTGGTCACTGTCTATATGTTGTATAAAGGTACAGTGGTGTGTGTGAAAGGTGGTCACTGTCTATATGTTGTATAAAGGTAAAGTGGTGTGTTTTTGAAAGAGGTGGTCACTGTCTATATGTTGTATAAAGGTACAGTGGTGTGTGTGACAGATGTTGTCACTGTCTATATGTTGTATAAAGGTACAATGGTGTGTGACAGGGATGGTCACTGTCTATATGTTGTATAAAGGTACAATGGTGTGTGTGACAGGGATGGTCACTGTCTATGTGATGTATAAAGGTACAGTGGTGTGTGTGTGCGTGACAGAGGTAGTCACTGTCTATATGTTGTATAAAGGTACAATGGTGTGTGACAGGGATGGTCACTGTCTATATGTTGTATAAAGGTACAATGGTGTGTGACAGGGATGGTCACTGTCTATATGTTGTATAAAGGTACAATGGTGTGTGTGACAGGGATGGTCACTGTCTATATGATTTATAAAGGTACAGTGGTGTGTGTATGTGTGTGATATAGAGGTGGTCACTGTCTATGTGATGTATAAAGGTACAGTGGTGTGTGTGTGTGATAGGGATTGTCACTGTCTATATGTTGTATAAAGGTACAGTGGTGTGTGTGTGTGTGTGTGTGTGACTGAGGTGGTCACTGTCTATATGATGTATAAAGGTACAGTGGTATTTGTATGTGTGTGTGACATAGGTGGTCATTGTCTATATGATGAATAAAGGTACAGTGGTGTGTGTGACAGAGGTGGTCACTGTCTATATGTTGTATAAAGGTACAATGGTGTGTGAGAGGGATGGTCACTGTCTATATGATGTATAAAGGTACAGTGGTGTGTGTGTGTGTGTGTGTGTGACTGAGGTGGTCACTGTCTATATGATGTATAAAGGTACAGTGGTATTTGTATGTGTGTGTGACATAGGTGGTCATTGTCTATATGATGAATAAAGGTACAGTGGTGTGTGTGTGTGTGTGTGACTGAGGTGGTCACTGTCTATATGATGTATAAAGGTACAGTGGTATTTGTATGTGTGTGTGACATAGGTGGTCATTGTCTATATGATGAATAAAGGTACAGTGGTGTGTGTGACAGAGGTGGTCACTGTCTATATGTTGTATAAAGGTACAGTGGTGTGTGAGAGGGATGGTCACTGTCTATATGATGTATAAAGGTACAGTGGTGTGTGTGTGTGTGTGTGTGTGACTGAGGTGGTCACTGTCTATATGATGTATAAAGGTACAGTGGTATTTGTATGTGTGTGTGACATAGGTGGTCATTGTCTATATGATGAATAAAGGTACAGTGGTGTGTGTGACAGAGGTGGTCACTGTCTATATGTTGTATAAAGGTACAATGGTGTGTGAGAGGGATGGTCACTGTCTATATGATGTATAAAGGTACAGTGGTGTGTGTGTGTGTGTGTGTGACAGAGGTGGTCACTGTCTATAGGATGTATAAAGGTACAATGGTGTGTGACAGGGATGGTCACTGTCAATATGTTGTATAAAGGTACAATGGTGTGTGTGACAGGGATGGTCACTGTCTATATTATTTATAAAGGTACAGTGGTGTGTGTATGTGTGTGTGATAGAGGTGGTCACTGTCTATGTGATGTATAAAGGCACAGTGATGTGTGTGTGCGTGACAGAGGTAGTCACTGTCTATATGTTGTATAAAGGTACAGTGGTGTGTGACAGAGGTGGTCACTGTCTATATGCTGTATAAAGGAACAATGATGTGTCGCAGAGGTGGTCACTGTCTATATGTTGTATAAAGGTACAGTGGTGTGTGTGACAGGGATGGTCACTGTCTATATGATGAATAAAGGTACAGTGGTGTGTGTGTGTGTGTGTGTGTGTGTGTGTGTGTGTGTGTGTGTGTGTGTGTGTGTGTGTGTGTGTGTGTGTGTGTGTGTGTGTGTGTGTGTGTGTGTGTGTGTGTGTGTGTGACTGAGGTGGTCACTGTCTATATGATGAATAAAGGTACAGTGGTGTGTGGCAGAGGTGGTCACTGTCCATATGATGTATGAAGGTACAGTGGTATTTGTATGTGTGTGTGACATAGGTGGTCACTGTCTATATGATGTATAAAGGTACAGTGGTGTGTGAGAGGGATGGTCACTGTCTATATGATGTATAAAGGTACAGTGGTGTGTGTGTGTGTGTGTGTGTGACTGAGGTGGTCACTGTCTATATGATGTATAAAGGTACAGTGGTATTTGTATGTGTGTGTGACATAGGTGGTCATTGTCTATATGATGAATAAAGGTACAGTGGTGTGTGTGACAGAGGTGGTCACTGTCTATATGTTGTATAAAGGTACAATGGTGTGTGAGAGGGATGGTCACTGTCTATATGATGTATAAAGGTACAGTGGTGTGTGTGTGTGTGTGTGTGACAGAGGTGGTCACTGTCTATAGGATGTATAAAGGTACAATGGTGTGTGACAGGGATGGTCACTGTCAATATGTTGTATAAAGGTACAATGGTGTGTGTGACAGGGATGGTCACTGTCTATATTATTTATAAAGGTACAGTGGTGTGTGTATGTGTGTGTGATAGAGGTGGTCACTGTCTATGTGATGTATAAAGGCACAGTGATGTGTGTGTGCGTGACAGAGGTAGTCACTGTCTATATGTTGTATAAAGGTACAGTGGTGTGTGACAGAGGTGGTCACTGTCTATATGCTGTATAAAGGAACAATGATGTGTCGCAGAGGTGGTCACTGTCTATATGTTGTATAAAGGTACAGTGGTGTGTGTGACAGGGATGGTCACTGTCTATATGATGAATAAAGGTACAGTGGTGTGTGTGTGTGTGTGTGTGTGTGTGTGTGTGTGTGTGTGTGTGTGTGTGTGTGTGTGACTGAGGTGGTCACTGTCTATATGATGAATAAAGGTACAGTGGTGTGTGGCAGAGGTGGTCACTGTCCATATGATGTATAAAGGTACAGTGGTATTTGTATGTGTGTGTGACATAGGTGGTCACTGTCTATATGATGTATAAAGGTACAGTGGTGTGTGTGTGTGTGTGTGTGACAGAGGTGGTCACTGTCTATGTGATGTATAAAGGTACAGCGGTGTGTGTGTGTGTGTGTGTGACAGAGGTGGTCACTGTCTATATGTTGTATAAAGGTACAGTGGTGTGTGGCAGAGGTGGTCACTGTCTATATGTTGTATAAAGGTACAATGGTGTGTGTGTTCTCCTCCTTCTCCCCCCTAACACAACAAAATACACAACAACAACATATTGGGATACTGTACGGTGCACTGACTGACCGCAGTTTATTCTTCAACAAGTATTCACATTATCATGAACATCGTCCGCATCAGGAACATCACCAGCATCATGACCATCAACCAACCGTAATTTACATGAATATTATAGATTCGATGCTTCATATTTTCAACGTGTACATATACACAGGCATCGACGCCTTATTACGTATTCTAATGGCTCGTCAGCGCATACTCATCAGAGTATATCCCAAATCCATACTCTCACAACTGGAGTGTTCGAGATTTCAACTATGGATACCGATCCATCTAGCGATCTCACGACGTATTATCATGGCTCGCCAGCACAACTTGCAAGCAACGCATAAAATTCTGATCATCATATGGACAGCCGCAGGTACTACACACATAAATAATAAAAAATATAGATTCAACCGACGTGTACTCCAATCGGCATCATACATAACTGAACATGTTTAATATAGCCAGCCCGACTGCACCGCACCTGAGAATGAAGTTTCAACTTCCCGCCTTTACTTATATACCCATTACGAAACCAGGTTACCTCCCGTTGTTGTGCTTTCCGACGTTAGGAGAAAATAATTTCATTCTAATTCGTCCCTCAAACGAAAGAAATTATATTTCTCCTCCTTCTCCCCCCTAACACAACAAAATACACAACTACAACATATTGGGATACTGTACGGTGCACTGACTGAGGAAACTAAGAACGGGCAATTCAAAGCCCCAAAGGAAGAGACACTTTTAATCTATTTTCGATGCTGTCCTTAACATAGCCATCTTTGGCACTCTCACTCCTCCAGCGACCATGTCGTTTAAACATTCTATCAGGGATGCCTCCATTGGCTGCCACTGTTGCTCCACCTGACCTCAAACTATGCATACCGTAGCATTTTATGTCAGGTACGTAAGGCTTAAAGGCTTCAATAAATAATTCCCTCAACCGAGTATAAGACATCGGTTTGTTTTCGGCTCTAAATATATAGCCATCACTGGTCTTGGACAGATTTCTGAAAAGATAAGTTTCTGAATTAGTTTCTTCCTTTAATCCAGATTTTTCCAAGAAACATTCCATACACTTCACAGGACACATCTTTGTCCCTGTTCTACCAATAACCAACCAAGCTCCATCTCTGTATACATCGGTCTTGGACCTTTCTATAAACACAGTCATATGAGAATCAAAAAACAACAAATCGCCATGCTTAATATTAAGCAACTCAGCAGACCGCATAAAAAACCAAGGCCACCGTACCAACAATCACCTGGAAGGGTGGCACAACAAGATAAAGAGACTTGTCAAGAAGTGCCACCCGAACATCTACGAGGTAGTGAAGCTATTTCAGCGAGAGCAGTCACTCAAAGAGGTTGCAGTCCTGAGACTCTCTCACCAGTGGTCAGAACCTTCACGAAGAAAGAAGTACAAGGCAATCGATGCACGTAAAACAAGACTTGTTTTGTTATATACGGTAACCTGTTAGAATCACAAAGCATGTTTTGACAGCATAGCCGCGAGAGCCACATTATACAATCACGCAACCATAACCATTGCCGCGAGAGCCACATCAATTTGGGCTATCTATTTTCGAAATGTGGCTTTGCCGGCCTGTAACCAAACCAACAATCACATGAAAGTGTCGAATACTATAAAACGCTGACTGCACGGGCGAAAAAGAACCCGACCGCTGTATCACTGACAGCAAATAAAGCGCACAATGTAAGGGAGATAACGGTAACCCTACAGGCATACCGTTAGAAACAGCCCACTTTCTCCAAGCACGGAAACCATACTTGTACTTTCTGCACGTGGAAGTCGCTCTGGCATGATTAAGCAGTCCCGGTATTGCTTTTGCTAATTCCTTCACACTCGGCGGTAGCTCTGCTATCTCGTCACCAAACACGTGATCAAAAACACCTGTAACAGGAAATTCAAAACTGAACCCGAATCGCCATCATGTTAAAATTTAAATCATAAACACCAAACAGACCATTGCTTTGTCTGCTTGGGACATATGCATCTTTGTAAGTAGGCAGATAAACCACTTCCTTCACCTGTGAAACAAACTCTCCCCTAGGACATAACAATGGCCAAAAAGTAGCTGAATACCAAACAGGAACTATCAACGTAGCCCTGCCTTGACACATTCTCAATTGCCGTAATGACCTAGATATCAAATATACAGGTGGCACTATCCAATTGTTGCCTTCAGACCAACTCATGGTAAATGCATCCACTCCACATGATCCAGGATTCCAATATCTGGAATAAAACCTAGCAACCTTGTTGTTATAATACGAGGCAAATACATCTATATCATATGGACCCCACATACTCTGTATGTGCTGATATACAAAATCACTGATTCCCCAATCGTCCGTGTCCACAAGCTTGCTAAGATAATCTGATCTCTCATTTTCTGACCGGGGTGTCCACTGCATTTCCAACTGAATCTGACCTTGGAGACAAAGATTAAAAATGTCCATAGCAATGCTTTGCAGCCCAGATTTCATAGATCCTTTAGCTACAATCGATTCAACATTTTTATTATCAGAAAACCATTTGATCCTGTGTGACTTCAGCAAAGGGAGAAAACTCTGCAGAACCATATACACTGCCTTTAATTCCCTGTGTGTAGAACTCAACGCAGCTTCTTCCACCGACCACTGCCCATGAGACTGTTCCTCACCAAACTGTACACAATACCCTCCGTAGCCGACACTACTGGCATCCCTGTATACCACTCTCGTTACTATGGACTGATCACACCATATTCTCTCTGTATATTTATTTATCTCATGTAACCAAAACTCGAGTTGATGTTTGCTGTACTGTGTCAAAACAACAAACTCATTCCATGATGTTATACTTACCGTCTGCATAGACAAAGCCCTAGTCATGAGCTGAGCGACAGATCCTACAACCAAACTCATGCTTATCACCTGCCCCACGACTGAAGCCACTTTTCTAACCGGGACAATCCCGCTACCTTTCAATAACGGGATGATACTCTGATGTAACTGATCAACCTTCCGACGAGGGATTGATAGTTTCATACACTTCGTGTCAATTATTAAGCCTAGCCATTCCATAACCTGACATGGAGCCCACAAAGATTTTTCACTTTTTGGTACAAAACCGGACTTTATGAGATCTTGCTTGACAGCATTTCCAAACATCGTAGTATTAGCCATAGAGTCACTGGACAAAATACCATCATCAAGAAAAGTAACAATTCTATAGCCTTTGTAACGCCAATACTTTACCAACTGACGGGTCACCTTGGTGAAAACAAAAGGCGCCGATGTAAGCCCGAATGGCAAAACAAGAAACTTGTAATATGTCATTTTTTGACCAGTCCCCCATGAGAAACCTAAATATTGGGTATGAAGAGGAAATATGTCAATATGGTGATAAGCCGAGTGAATATCAAACTTTACAAGCCAGTCATTTTTGTTTATGTACATCATGGCTGTCCTCCAATCTTCATATTTCACCCATTGTTTCCATACATGCTTGTTGACCCATGACAAGTCTAAGATCAGTCTCTTCTTACCTGAAGATTGGATTGACACTGACAAAGGATTAACAAATGTAGGCTTTATATCACACTGCACCACTAAGCTCTTTTTGAGTAATTGAGACACAGCCTCTGATACAAACTCTTCGTGCAATCTAGCAGACTTGTTGTTGCCTAAAACCGTATTGGGTGGTGTTGAATAAAACGGAATTTGTATCCATTTTCTATGATATCAGTGACGTAGTCTGAACTTCCGATTCGACGCCAAAAAGCAATGTTTTGTTTTAGCCTATCCTTCACAATGATTTCTGCATGGCCCTGTTCATATTCAAAATAATCATCAGTCAGTAACACATGATTATCACTATGACCTACGTCATACTTAACTTGTGAGTCAGTTTCTTTATTAATGGGCAGATCCTCCTCCTCGTCCTGTAATCTGAGCGGGTTGTTGTTCTCCGGACATCAGACATTGACGTCTGAAATGGCCAAATCCCCCACATGAGAAGCACGCTCCACTTGATGAGTTCCTCCGAAAGGGCTGATTGAACATGGAGAAGCTGTTGACTGCCGCTGGCTCTGCAGAAGAGACAGTAGCACTAGGAGCACGACAACCACGTGGTCTATAGTACGGACTGCGTGCAGAACGCCCCATCTTGGACTTGATTTTCTTGACAGCTTTATTTTCTGCTCTTGTAATTTTCTTGTCGTCTTCGGAGTCGGACGCCACATCTCGTGCAACATAATTTTTTACAGTCTCCCATCCACCTTCCGACGTATCGGCAATCTTAATAAGTTTGTTTCTCTGCTCGATCCGAGTTTTTTCCGTCTCAACAAGCTCCGCCGCGTAGTCGAATTTCTTAAATTCTAAGGCAAACTTTAACTGATTTAAATTGTCCAAAGTTTCAGTATTGAATGAGTGTTGTATTCTACAACCTTCTCGTTTCCACACAAATTCCTTATCAGCTTTCAACTTGGATATCTCTTTTGTCGTTTTCTCAAATTCTTCACGAAAACCAAGTAAACGATCTTCAACTGATTGCGCTATTTCGGCTTTTGATCTTTCCAATTGGCGAAGAATCTCATCTAACTTCTCCGATATGGGCTTGTCAGCGTCCATGTTTAATATAGCCAGCCCGACTGCACCGCACCTGAGAATGAAGTTTCAACTTCCCGCCTTTACTTATATACCCATTACGAAACCAGGTTACCTCCCTTTGTTGTGCTTTCCGACGTTAGGAGAAAATAATTTCATTCTAATTCGTCCCTCAAACGAAAGAAATTATATTGTGTGTGACAGAGGTGGTCACTGTCTATAGGATGTATAAAGGTACAATGGTGTGTGACGGGGATGGTCACTGTCTATATGTTGTATAAAGGTACAATGGTGTGTGTGACAGGGATGGTCACTGTCTATATGATTTATAAAGGTACAGTGGTGTGTGTATGTGTGTGTGATAGAGGTGGTCACTGTCTATGTGATGTATAAAGGTACAGTGGTGTGTGTGTGCGTGACAGAGGTAGTCACTGTCTATATGTTGTATAAAGGTACAGTGGTGTGTGACAGAGGTGGTCACTGTCTATATGCTGTATAAAGGTACAGTGGAATGTCGCAGAGGTGGTCACTGTCTATATGTTGTATAAAGGTACAGTGGTGTGTGTGACAGGGATGGTCACTGTGTGGTGTGTGTATATGTGTATGTGTGTGTGACAGGGATGGTCACTGTCTATATGATGAATAAAGGTACAGTGGTGTGTGTGTGTGTGTGTGACTGAGGTGGTCACTGTCTATATGATGTATAAAGGTACAGTGGTGTGTGTGACAGGGATGGTCACTGTCTATATGTTGTATAAAGGTACAGTGGTGTGTGACAGTGGTGGTCACTGTCTATATGCTGTATAAAGGTACAGTGGAATGTCGCAGAGGTGGTCACTGTCTATATGTTGTATAAAGGTACAGTGGTGTGTGTGACAGGGATGGTCACTGTGTGGTGTGTGTATGTGTGTATGTGTGTGTGACAGAGGTGGGCACTGTCTATATGATGTATAAACGTACAGTGGTGTATGTGTGTGTGTGAGAGAGATGGTCACTGTCTATATGATGTATAAAGGTATAGTTGTGTGTGTGACAGAGATGGTCACTGTCTATGGGTTGTATAAAGGTACAGTGGTGTGTGACAGAGGGGGTCACAGTCTATATGATGTATAAAGGTACAGTGGTGTATGTGTGTGTGTGAGAGAGATGGTCACTGTCTATATGATGTATAAAGGTATAGTGGTGTGTGTGACAGAGATGGTCACTGTCTATGGGTTGTATAAAGGTACAGTGGTGTGTGTCACAGAGGTGGTCACTGTCTATATGTTGTATAAAGGTACAGTGGTGTGTGGCAGAGGTGGTCACTGTCCATATGATGTATAAAGGTACAGTGGTGTGTGTGACAGAGGTGGTCACTGTCTATATGTTGTATAAAGGTACAGTGGTGTGTCGCAGAGGTGGTCACTGTGTTTATGTTCTATAAAGGTGCACTTGTGTGTGTGAGAGAGGTGGTCTCTCTCTATGGGTTGTATAAAGGTACAGTGGTGTGTGACAGAGGTGGTCACGGTCTATATGTTGTATAAAGGTACAGTGGTATGTGTGTGTGTGTGACAGAGGTGTCACTGTCTATGTGTTGTATAAAGGTACAATGGTGTGTGTGACAGGGATGGTCACTGTCTATATGATGTATAAAGGTACAGTTGTGTGTGTATGTGTGTGTGACAGAGGTGGGCACTGTCTATATGTTGTATAAAGGTACAGTGGTGTGTGACAGAGGTGGTCACTGTCTATATGTTGTATAAAGGTGCACTTGTGTGTGTGACAGAGGTGGTCACTGTCTATATGTTGTATAAAGGTACAATGGTGTGTGTGACAGAGGTGGGCACTCTCTATGGGTTGTATAAAGGTACAGTGGTGTGTGACAGAGGTGGTCACGGTCTATATGTTGTATAAAGGTACAATGGTGTGTGTGACAGAGGTGGTCACTGTCTATATGTTGTATAAAGGTACAATGGTGTGTGTGACAGAGGTGGTCACTGTCTATATGTTGTATAAAGGTGCACTTGTGTGTGTGACAGAGGTGGTCACTGTCTATATGTTGTATAAAGGTACAATGGTGTGTGTGACAGAGGTGGGCACTCTCTATGGGTTGTATAAAGGTACAGTGGTGTGTGACAGAGGTGGTCACGGTCTATATGTTGTATACAGGTACAATGGTGTGTGTGACAGAGGTGGTCACTGTCTATATGTTGTATAAAGGTACAGTGGTGTGTTTGTGAAAGAGGTGGTCACTGTCTATATGTTGTATAAAGGTACAGTGGTGTGTGTGTGTGTGACAGGGATGGTCACTGTCTATATGTTGTATAAAGGAACAGTGGTGTGTGTGACAGAGGTTGTCACTGTCTATATGATGTATAAAGGTACAGTGGTATGTGTATGTGTGTGTGACAGAGGTGGGCACTGTCTATATGATGTATAAAGGTACAGTGGTGTGTGTGTGTGTGTGTGTGTGTGTGTGTGTGTGTGTGTGTGACAGAGGTGGTCACTATCTAAATGTTGTAAAAAGGTACAGTGGTGTGTGACAGAGGTGGTCACTGTCTATATGTTGTATAAAGGTACAGTGGTGTGTGGCAGAGGTGGTCACTGTCTATATGTTGTATAAAGGTACAGTGGTGTGTGGCAGAGGTGGTCACTGTCTATATGTTGTATAAAGGTACAGTGGTGTGTGGCAGAGGTGGTCACTGTCTATATGTTGTATAAAGGTACAGTGGTGTGTGACAGAGGTGGTCACTGTCTGTATGCTGTATACAGGTACAGTGGTGTGTGGCAGAGGTGGTCACTGTCTATATGTTGTATAAAGGTACAGTGGTGTGTGTGACATAGGTGGTCACTGTCTATATGATGTATAAAGGTACAGTGGTGTGTGGCAGAGATGGTCACTGTCTATATGCTGTATAAAGGTACAGTTATGTGTGTGACAGAGGTGGTCACTGTCTATATGATGTATAAAGGTACAGTGGTTTGTGTGACAGAGATGGTCACTGTCTATATTTTGTATAAAGGTACAGTGGTATGTGACAGACGTGGTCACTGTCTATATGATGTATAAAGGTACAGTGGTGTGTGTGACAGAGGTGGTCACTGTTTATATGATGTATAAAGGTACAG